GAGTTAGCCTATATGAAGAATCCGTCATTTATGAATGAAGCAGTAATATTTTAAGTGAAAAAATAATGAAGTTGGCATGGTTCTTCTGGTCTCCGCTGTCCCTCTCACGTATAAAACGACGGACGTGATTTATTGATTAAATCATTCAAATTCAAAAAAATAATACCATGTCATTTTACCGCGATGGTTCGCGTCTGAGTGCTTGATATTTAGTTTGGGCTGTGGGCTGAAAAATGTTGCGGAACAGGGTTCTACCATAACCATCAAAGTAGGACCATCAAGGTATAGAGGTCCTAACAGCCTTTTAATATAACCAGGGGCGGATTTAGGGGGGTAAAAAAGGGGGAAAAAGAAAGAAACAGAAAAAAATTATAGCGCACAATGCCTCAAATGTTATTTTCGGGCGTCTAGAACACAAAAATTTCGCGGGGGCATGCCCCGGGCCCCTAGGACATTGTTGTCTCGATCGGCCCAAATTTCGCCCCCCCCCCCCCCCCTTTTCGCCCCCCCCCCTTTTTTTTTGGACATCTCTGGATCCACCCCTGATAACTGTATTCATAATAATATTTATTTATATTTTTTTACGTTTGTACATTTGCAGTGGTAGTTCGTTTACATAGGGTTTGAAGGTATGCTTTTCTAAAATATTTATTTCTCCACGCATAAATTATTGGATTGATCGCTGAATTCAAAAGAATTAGCAATACCGTGACTTGCCAAAGCTGTTGTGGAATGATGGCACCGCTGACCCTAGCAATTGATACGAAGCACATCGGTGCCCAGCAGATCATGAACGTTGTGGAGACGACCATTATGTTTTTGGCAAGGTTGTATTCCTTTTTCCTATTATTTAGTAGTTTTGCCGAAACCCTGCCTGTATCCCCCCTCTGTAGCTTACTAGATCTTGTTGTTTTCATACTGGCACTCACCTTACGGATAATTTTTACGTAGCAGAAAACAATTATCGACGCAATAATAATAACAATAATTAACAACACTGTGGTGAAGTATTTCCAATAATCTGCATCATCTGACCTATTAGCACTGCACGATGTGGACTGGTCGTTGTAACCTCGACTGCCAATCGCAATGGCAGGGACTAGAACCGGGAGAAAAGCAAATCCCCACACTGCGAAACACATCCAGAGGGTTCTTTTCTTGGTAAAGATCTCTGTATAGCGAGATGGTTTCAGTATACATACGTACCGGTTGTATGCAATAGCAGCCAAGTTTAGCGCGGAACAAACACAACTCCATATTGTCAAGAACCTAACAACATTGCACAGCATGCCACCAAACGGCCATTTGTTATAAATAATTGTGATGATATAAAGTGGGTTGACGATTATAGAAATTATAAGATCAGCGATAGCAAGATTGATGATGAAAAAGTTGATTGGGGTTGAGAGAGTTGGGATGCGCCACACCACAATCAGCGTCATGCTATTTCCAAAAGTGCCCAAAGCCGTGTATATTATTAATAAAATTATGCTGACAGTTGCCATCATATATTCTAGTGTACTTCCACTCATGCTTCTGAGAAATGATTCAAACCTGAATGGAATCTGGAAAACAAGCGAGATGAATTGTCAGTTTTCATGGATGCTCAAAAACTTACTAAATTACAAATTTAACTTTTTCTAAGAGAGGTTACGAATTAATATTTTTTGTATTTTAATATTAAAAATATCAGTGTATCAAAAGTATGTTGTAAGTGCATATGACTATATGTCCACCTCACACTTCATCTGTAAACAATAATTAATCTCTTATCGATGACTATAATCTAGGCAATTTTGAGGAATTTGAAGCTCATGAAACGTGTTAGCACGTACAGTATTATGCCCAAAATATACTGTATTTTTAAATTTGTTTTATTACGAAAATTCGGGGCTGATGATGGGCAGGGGTCTTTTCTTCCAACTGAGGGCCCTTTCCTCACTGAGAATTAACACATTATATTTGAAAAAAATACAATACATGTTGCGTAGTCAACAGGTCGTTTGTGAACTTAAATTATTTGCCTGTTAACAGTCATTCTTCTGAAAAAATTGCTCACTTACCGTACTGAACCAAAAAGTAATCTGCAACTATGTTTATGAAAAATATAATATTGGACACTGGTAACGCATATGCCTGGTCAGACAACTCGTGTAGAACCGAAATTGACGAACAGATCATTATATTTTGTATCAGTTTTTAGATGGTATCAGCTTATATAGTGTGTTTTTCTTAGTATCCAAAAACAACAAACAAGTAAAACAAGAGTGATAACTGGAGGAATATAACAACATTTGTGTGGTCAATTAGGAATTGCTAATTTAGCAATATTTCTAATATTAAGTTAAAGATAATTCGCATTAATTAAAATAATAGTAGAACTAATGTAACTATCGTCAACTACAGGGCGGTCCGCACGCAGGATTTTTATTGGGTGAGTGCGAATTTGTCGAGAGTGGACCAAAATGACTGGGTCCGCAGATTCCCTCGCGCTCAGACATTTTTGATAATTTGAGATCTTAATTGATTCTGAAGATGCAATATCAACAGTATTAAACGGTTTTTCTGTGACATATTCAGGAAATGAGTGGGAGGTGGGGGCTAGGTAGGGATTTTCACAGATGGAGGTTTTATACCACCTCAGCCCTAACATGGTTGGGGCTGTGGTAAAAAATTAAAATTATGGTACCTCTAGATGGCCGGAAATGGCACTCTATGACTCTAAGATTCGTAAATAAATCGAGGTCGAGTAAAATATATTCACACATTTGGACACACACATAGCCTAGATGTTTAAAGCACAATGTAAATAAAACATTGTTAGTTTCTAAACGTAAAAGAAATAATGTAGGCCTATACCGCACAATGAAAACAAGGCCATAATATTATTGGGCATTGAAATTACTAAATGTTATATGAATAAATGGAATTAATGAAAATTGCGAATACGAACGAATAATTCAAGGGCTTTACGACGTGGATGAGATAGGTAGACGTCAAAAATATATCAAATCGAGAATGCATAAACTAAGCCTATACTGATGTTATTGGAAACAGGTAGGGAAAACAATTAATAATAATAATAATAATTGTCGACTTATATAGCGCATATTGTAGGGACCTTTATGCGCTTACATTATTACCCCCGGATCACTGGATCAAGAACATATGGAACACACACTAAAGCCCCATGGGGGAATAGACCTTTCCGGAGTGTCAATCAAACTTAACAACTGACTAATCAGAACAACGCTAGAAATACGCGCGCGTCTCACAAACACACGTGTTGTCCCACAAACGCACGTGTTCGCGTATATTTTAACACTGCCGTCTTGTGGGACCTTAGCAACAAAATCCAAGGGGCAGAGCTTAGCGGAAAGGTCTATTCCATAATTAATCCATTTGTTGTTGCAGGTAGGTGTGTAATCTTCGTGAAGCGCTTGTATATTTGCAGCTTGTAATCAGTGGCGGATCCAGTAATTCAAAATAGAGGAAGCCAGGGAAGGACTTTCACAGATGGGAGTCGATAACACCTTAGCCCACCATGACTGGGACTGAGGTAAGAACATTTATGATTATGACACCTCTAGATGGCCGGAAATGGCACTCTCAGACTTAAACGAGGTAGTTTTTAAATTAGAAAGAAGATGAGTTTTTAAACGGGGAGTCATTGACACGCTAGCGTCGGGGAAACACACTAAAATTGTTCACAAATCTTACAAAAATGCAGTTGAAAGTCCTTGCTTGTACGACGAATTAGAGACAGTCCTAGTTGGAAACTGCTCTGATTGGTCAAAGAGTTTTGGTTGATCGATTTTTCGAACGTGCGAGAGTATGTCTTGATTTGTTTACCACTGAAAATGTGGACCTTTGGTAATTTGGTTGAGTGCGTACGTACCCGTTGAACCCCCCCTCCCCACCCCTGTGCGTACGACCTGAACTATCGCATCTTCTGGAACAAGATAAACAAACTGTGCATAGGAAGTACTGATTCAGATACTCTTGATTGTCACAACAATAGCTGTCTCTTATACACATCTAGATGTGTATAAGAGACAGCTACAGGGCGGTCCGCACGCAGGATTTTTATTGGGTGAGTGCGAATTCAGGCCCGTAGCCAGGGGGGTTTTTAGGGGTTCGGGCGAACCCCCCTTTTTCAGCGAACCCCCCTTTTGCCAGCGAACCCCCTTAGCCAGAAAATGATCCCCCGTTTCCAAAATAGTGCAATTTATTACAAAATGGGAGCATTTTTGGCACTGTTTATTTGTCGCTATCGATCGTAGTCCGATCGTAGAAATCAAAACAAAGCTGCAGCCAGCTGAATGACGTAACCAGCAAGACTTCAAAATGAATATTAATGAGAGGTTTGTTGCCTAGGCTATTTGACCAATCGCGTGCTCCGGAGTTTAATAGGCATTAGGCATTTTTCGTTTTGACTACGCGGCCAGTCTACTACGAACTAATAGAGCGTAACGGACATCTGCGCATGCTCACAAACCTTACTGGCTAAATCGGCGTTGTGACAGCTTCCGCGACATGAATCACTGTAGAGGTCTTAACAGTCTTTTAACTGTATTCATAATAATATTTATTTATATTTTTTACGTTTGTACATTTGCAGCGGTAGTTCGTTTACATAGGGTTTGAAGGTATGCTTTTCTAAAATGTTTATTTCTCCACGCATAAATTATTGGATTGATCGCTAAATTCAAAAGAGTTAGGAATACCGTGGCTTGCCAAAGCAGTTGTGGAATGATGGCACCGCTGACCCTAGCAATTGATACGCAGCACATCGGTGCCCAGGAGATCATGAACGCTGTGGAGACGACCATTAAGTTTTTGGCAAGGTTGTATTCCTTTTTCCTTTTCTTTATTTGTTTTGCCGAAACTCCGTCTGTATTTCCCTCTGTAGATTTTGAGAGTTGAGACTTTTTCAGCTTACTAGCTTAAAAACAAAAACAAAAACTATCAAGATCTAAAAATATCAAGAACATCTGAAC